GGTTTTTTCTTAATAATTTAAATAATCTGGTGGTACAAGGTTTATGCGCTTAACTAGCACATAAAGCTTCTGAATTTCACTTGTTCTTGATAACACTGAACTTGATGATAAAGAAAACTTGGCTTGATGAATAATTTTCGGTAGCTGTTCGGGCGGTAGAGAAGAGAACTTTAACAAAAGCCCTCAGTGTGCACTACAACTGATTGTTGTTTCAACTCGACAAAACTTTTTCCGTAGTCGGATAACAAGTGTAGAACTTCTTATACCCCTTTGGTTCACTTACTTCTGCACACTTTATTTCGACGACGACGACCGACGAATTACGTTTTACCATAACCAGGTTGGCTTGTAAAAAAATGTACACGCTTTTCAACCGTCACGAAACCAGCAGAAGGCTCGTTTTCTCATAGTCTCCAGTGTTTAAGGAAACACCACTTCCACCATAAAATAAACTCCGTTATGAATTTTCAAATTCGCCAATCACGACGGAACGGAATTAGATTTCGTCTAAAAATAAAACTTTTTATCGCATACAGTCAGACGTGTCTTACTTTCCAACCTAATCTAAATTGAAAAATTACAAAGCGATAAAATTTAAAATGAAAAACAAATACTTAAATACAAATTCAAATGACACGAACTAACTTTGTGCTTATTTCGTAAATAATCCCCTAGATTTACTTAATAAATTGTAATAATCTCATATTCAGCATGTCCCGTCCATATTTTTGGTGTTTAGACCGAAATAGCGTCTACATAACTTCTTTACACAACAATACATTAGGTTACAGACCCAGGAAAACTTGTGGCAGGTACGTAAAATCAAAATGATTTTAAAGTGTCCAAACTTTTACAGTTTCTTCTAATTTAATTACAACTGCATCTAACCAAATCCAAAGTCTACAAGACAAGTTGAAAGTGAATTAATTTACATTTCCGAAAGGTAAACACTATAACAGTATGAATAATTTACTATGCATGAAACCTGTGATGAAACCTTGTTTTATTCGTCCGTTTTAAACGTCGTAATTTACAAACTCTGAACATATAGGTACAAGACATTTAAAAGTGCGTCAACATCAACAAGCGAGGGAATTGTCAAATTAGCATTTCAATTGTGGCCTAGAGAATAATATCTCAAATGTCACACACAGATGCACCAACAGTAATTGAATTTGTAAATGCCTGATGAAAACGATATTACAGCTCCGGCATTTGAGAGACCCTTTCGTTATAAGGGGCTGAGAGTTAATTATGATGTTATTGTCAAGAAGCTCATGTATACCTTCCCAGACATAACTCTCTCGGGACGATGCGTCGAAAAGAAATTGCAACGTAAGTAGGTAGACTTGTGTAGTGGTAGGTATAATGGTATAATTTACTCTTGTGTTGTTAACGCCGTATTATTTTTTGGGAGTTATTACTAAGATACAAACTAGATGGAGTAAGTGTGGCTTTATTAATGTTTTTACGAATTTGAATGCGAAGAGTGGGGCAAAAAAGGAAAAATTTCCCAGAATCGACAAGCTGCATCGAATCGTGTTTGTTTGAAGTAATATACTTTTCCAAGTTTGAAAATCAATCCATTTTTTGTTTTTTTTTTTGTATACTCGGTAGTGCTGGACGAATTTAAACCCTTCCTTCTTGCCCTTCTTGATCTCCCTATCCCCCCCCCCCGTGCATTGTAAGTGGGCGCCCAGCACCGACTGAATTGTAATTTGTAAGTATATTTATATTTTTTCCATATATTTTGTCTTCTGAATTTATCAAAAAAAATATACATGTGTTCTTTCTTTTTCGCTGCAGCAATATACTTTTGTGGATATTATTTTTCTTCATTAATATGATGCTACTGTACGTTTTGATCACAATTAAAATCACTTAACTTTAAGTCCAGCCGTGTGGTGCAGAGGAGTGAAATCTCGACTGCGGAGTGCGGTACTGAGGGTAGATACCTGGTTCCAATCCGAGTTCGGACATAGATGTTTGTTTGGTATCTTCTATTTTTCCTTTGGTACTATCCTCTTCCGACACGAGATATTCAGATTTAAAGCTTTGACGCTACCTATACCGACCGATACCCTTCGTCCATAGCTTTCATTTTTTCTTTGAGAGTACCCTCTTCCGACATTACTTCTTTTAAGGATATGCGGATTTAAAATTTTGACGCCATCGACAGGGACACGGACATCTCGTCCAGGTTTGGGGAGCGTAGGCTGCGATAAAAGCAGACGCGAGCCGTCAATTTTGCGTTGGTTTCGTTGCGGTTTTTGAGTCCAGCAACAATTACAGAGAGAACATTGGATCAAGATTGGCGGAGAAGCATGGCAGGTTATAGAAGGACTCCATGCCCTAACGGAGGTCGTTTTCGTTTCACATTTTTTGCCCGGCAATGGTAAGAAAGGAAATGTGTTGAAGAAGAAGCGCGGCGTTTAAAGCGTAAAGATCGCGTAAACAATTCGGTCGCGAAAGCTTCGACTTTTAAGAAAGTTAAGGGCCGGTTATATAAATGAAGGAAAATCATTTCGGGCGGGCCGTTATAAATTCTTGCGTCAAGCGGAACGAAGAAATTGTTTTTTAAACAAAATTCTGTGAAGAAGAATCCACCATTTTAATCTTTGAGATTGTACCTGTTTATTGTTATTGGAGATCCGTGAAATCCTACGCAAGTGAATATTTGGTGCGGTTTGCACGTTAATTATTCAGTTTCGTGTCTGGAAATATCCATACAAACACTTGAACGACTATAAATTAAATTATTTTGTGACCGTAAGAACAATAAATTGGTTGAGGCTGTTTACAAGCTAATGTACAATTGCGGAATTACAAGCAATACAGTCGCGACACTCTCTCCGAGACAACGCGTAGAATTATGAACTGTGATTAACACCACAAGTGCGGACTTATCTATTGATATCTTTGACCTGGTGGAAAGCTGAGACCGTTGACCGCGTGGATCAGAATCTACTTAATCTTGGACGAACCGTACGTGAAAATTGTTAATCTACGTCGAATGTTTGTCATTTTTCGTAAAGAAAAAACTTCAGATACCAACAAATATTAACTTTGACCTAGGGGAATTTTTAGCAAATATGAAATTTATGGTGACCGATGCCACATCAAGCTAATGCGAATTAGAAGGTATTACGAATTTCTTATGTTGTGGTAATCACACATGCGAAATTAGATGACTCACTAGTCACTAGTACGCGGGGGATGCTTTCTGATCCGAAAAACCAATTATTAATATGTATAACATTTCGGACTGTTTAAAAATGTTGTTCTTCATCAAGTATGTGCACAACAAATTTCGTGGAATTCTCTCCATTTTCGTTGTCAGGTCAAGAATTGCAGTGGATTTTTTAGAATTTTGAAAAACTAATTTCAGATTCATGATTTTTACAAAAATCTCCAGATATCAAATTTTGCCGAAATCAGATATTTTCTCGCACCTCCATTTAGGGGTGCGCCCTTTCGTGAGGAAAATTTTGAAATTTTTCTTGCACAATCGGAAAGGGAGTACCTCAAAACCTATTCAAAAGTTTGCCACCAGTATTTCTAAGTCGTAAGGTTGCTGAGAAAAAAAGGATTTCGCCTTAAGGCGAGTAGCTTTAACGCATTTTACATGAATTGATCAGTACTTCCCGAAAGGTCATATAACGGACTATTTATGTGACATACAAAGGAAAATAATTTAAGGCATAAATATTCATCAACATAATCCACAAGATTATTTAAGTTTTTACGATTTCTTGAGTTCTTCAAATTTTTTAAAACCAAACAGACTTTTTTTTCATTTTTCAAATGCTTCAGATTCTTATTCTTCTACGAATCCTTCTGTTTGTCCGAATTTTTCCGATTCTCAAATGCATAAAATTGATCAGATTATGAAGATTCTTCCTATTTTTTATACTATTCAAATTTATCAGATCTTTATGATTCTTAAAATACTTTCGTCTTATCTAATTCGACTATTCTATACGGAATACGTGTTACAATATGTACATTCGCGGAAATCTTCAGGAATGGCAAAAGCAGACTTCTGAGGAGATAATAATTACGAACTGCCCCACTGCGGGGCTGGTGACCGTCAACGGAACTTCTTGAAGTGGTATGAAGACTGAATCGTTGTTAGTTCGTAACGTTGTGTCGTCGAATGAGGAGCTCGGCGTCGTCGGTTGCCTCACTATAGGACAGCTCGGTTTGATCCTAAAGTTTACTATAGGACAGCTCGCAACAGAATGAATTCTAATGCAACTGGGCTGCCTTATAAAGCCCTATTCGACGGTGGAGATCATTTTTCGCATTACGTAGAGGAAAACTCTCTGTTGATTTTGATGGCATCACGCCGTGTTGATTTTATTGGTAATTGAAGTGAGATACCTATCAGCTACCATATGTGGGTGGCAATTTGAAAACTTACCACCCCCCATGTCTTAGTAAATAAACGAGGTATTTAAAAAATCAAAATCCGTTTCGGTAATTCGGAGGGGAAATCATAATGACATAGTTGGCGACGCACCCCCTCCAACCCCCTGCGCCCCAGCCACCCCAACTTTTAAATCTTAAATAGTGACCCCCCCCCATGTGTGATACGTCGTTGGAAAGATCTGAAAAAATGCTTTCCAACCATACCAAATAGCATTACATTTAGCTTAGTATTTATCGTGCAAATCAAAAAATAAACTAATATGATACATTTGAAATCCGTCGTATTTAAAACGCGAAAACCGGCGAACATAGACGAACTAAGACAGAGAATAATTCAAGAATGTCGAAATATTGCAAAACCAACATTTGAGAAGGTTCGACAAGAGTTTGAGAATAGATTATACTACTGTCTTACCAATAACGGAAACCATTTTGAACATTTATTGAAATAAAAGCCAACTTTAGAAAAGGTATCATATTAGTTTATTTTTTGATTTGCACGATAATTACTAACGTAAATTTAATGCTATTTGGTCTGGTTGGAAAGCATTTTTTCATAGCTTTCCAACGACGTATCACACATAGGGGTCACTATTGAAGATTTAAAAGATGGAGTGGGTGGGGCGGAGGGGGTTGAAGGAGGTGCATCGTCAACTATGTCAGAGTGATTCCCCCTCCGAAATACCGAAACGGATTTTTTTTAAATATCTTGTTTATTTACTGGGGGGGGGGGGGGGTAAGTTTTCAAATTGTCACCCTGTATAGCGTCATACTGCTTTTACTATTCCATAGATTGCATTCTCTGGTGTATTAACATTTCCCTTAATTTGTAACGACTGAATTTTCCGGAGACCGTCAAGGGAATCTTTTGAACAATTTTTACACCGCCCCTCAATCGTTTACGATCTTCAACCCTTTCCTCAACGTACTTCACCAGTTCATCTGTTGTAACCTTTTGACACACTTCGACTACAGCAATTGGGTGATTTTCATCTGTATGGTGAGGCAAGCCTAACACAACGACGTTCTGTACAGCAGGATGGCCAGCAAGCACATTTTCAATTTCAACCGGTATAACGTGATAATCAATGTACTTGAAGCTCTCCTTAATTCTGCCTGTAATAAAGAAACAATGTTCCTCGTTATAGTAGGCCAAATCTCCGGTTTTCAGCCAACCATCCGCATCGAACATTTCCGAAGAATCGCATTTGTAGTAGCCGTTTGTTTGATTTTTAGATTTCAGCATAAGTTCACCAACACTATTTGCTGCCAAAATCTCTTCAGTTTCGACGTCAACAATCTGAAAATATCTCATTAACCGCTAAGTATGTCAAGACATAAAGTAAACCTTGTAAGAAAATCCGCCCGAAGGGATTCCGACAGAATTCGGATACTTCTCGACTAGGTGAAATCCTTTCGCAGTTTGTGGAAAGCCCAGTATTCGAGTGAAAACTTCGCTCTGTCCGTAACTTTTTGCAACAAACGTTTTGGGTAGTTGCGCTTTCAACAGTAACAACTGTTCTTTTGACATTGTGTTACCACTTAGTGCCAACACTTTTAGATTCGTAACATCCGCGTGCTCAGGTTTGGGGTGTTTTACAAACGACATGCCTTCAAATGGGATTATTAGTGCGTAGTCTACGCGGAACTCTAGAACTTTCCAGGGATCATTACAGTCAAAGTCTTCAAATATAATCATTTTGAAACCGTTTACAATGGAATTATGTAGAAGTCTGTGGTATATTACCCAGTATACTGAGCAAAATGTGGCTATTGTTAAGCAATCGCGGGTTTCTCTATAAAAAGACGGACATTAAAATAAAAAATGTAGCGGATATACCTACGGAAACATTGGATTTGATAGTATAGATGAATGACTGTGGCAAATACCCTTTGGTCTGCCAGTTGTGCCACTAGTAAAAAGTAGTAGCGCCATTTCATGGATACTCTCCGGTTGTCTGGGTGAAAATTCCATTTCGTTGGAATAGGGTTGCAAGAAATCGTCAAAGGGCGTGTGTGCTACTGTTTCACCAAATGTTACTATAGTTGTTCCGGTTTCTAGTACTTTTACAACTTCTTCAATTAAGCGCACACTTTGCGCTGCCACAAAAATCATTTTTGGAGAAAGTTGTTTTAGCAAGTACACCGTTTCGGTTACTGAAAAAGCAGGGTCTACAGGTGCCATTATCGCACCTATAAATAGAGCTGCAATGCAGGGCACACATGCATCGAAGGTATTTCTGGAACATATGGAGACAAAGTCACCTGGTCCGATTCCCTTATTTTGCATGGTGATCGCTGCTCTGGTGGATCGGTTCAGTAAGCTGCAGTAATTTTCTTGCTTGTTTGTTAGTGCGTCGATCTACAAATGTATAGCGTTTGCTACGGTTACGTACAGAGATGACATACCTGGGCAACTCTGTGCTGGTACTTTAACATTGAGTGGTAGTATACATATCCCACGCCTTTGTGGTCAGCTGATGGAGAAGTATCAGGCATAGTAATTATATTAGGATGATCTGAAAAAGCACCATACAATATCCAGCGAGATTAGTTATTAAAACTAAATTAAAACTGAAAATTATTATATGATTTCGGATTGGAGCCATGGAATTTTTCACAATTTTTGAGGTTGATCTAAAAACATTTTCTTTAACGTTGTCCAATGCTAATACTACAGACAGACGTACTAGTAGTCATATAGTACTTTGATTTTTGAAAAGTGAGTTAAGCGTTTCACAAACATCTCTACCCTTTTCAAAATTCATCTTTCAAAAATTTTATTGGTCCTTTAAAGTTCTCAAAACAAAGTTTTTGTCTGACTGGCCACTACGACTATCCTCAAAAGATACTACTTACTGTTTTTACTAGACATAGTTTTATAGGAGAGTGAGAGTGTTAAAGCACTAGATTTGTATTACTAACTAACCGGAAATTCACTGTAGGTTATATATACAAATCCACGCACTTATCATGATAGGTACTAGTAAAGGATTAAGAGAATACTATAATCCTTCCAAATCAGTGTGTTGCGAAACATAGGGTACTAATAAAGCAAACATAATTCCTGTCTAATGATACCGTTCATTGTATTCTTGCATATGACATTCTCCTGTAACTACTCCATTGATATGCCATGAACCGTTGTTCTTTGGTCTCCACTAAACTTCTAGGCCGGTCGCCATCTTATTATTCAACTGGAGTTCTATGGGCTGGTCCTATAATAACTACTATCTGGTTTAAATTTTTCTCAAATGTCAAATTTCGGGCATTCGGCTAACACCCCATTTTGTTTGTGCGACAAATAACATGGATACTGTAAGTTATTCCAATTGCTACGACAAAATCGACCTTGACGACAATGATAACAATGTACACTTACCTACTAATCGCAAATACCAATGTAAATGGCATCAATATTATCTATTTGAACGAAATTATTAAACAAAAGGACGTTTTAATTAACAATTTAAATGAAATGTGCAATCGTTGAAAGCGGAGTTAGGTATTCGCGTAATACAGACAAAAACTGATACCGCTGAATGGAAGATACTGCAATTCCATTCGTTGTTACCGGTAATAAGAGGAGGAAAAGTAGCGCGCATAGCAATGTCAATTTCGTGCAAAACGAAGAGTTTAAAATCGTGATTCATTTAGCACCGATTTAACCTTGGAGGGTAGGAAAACGTCACACCAAGCCAAATCGTGACAAGGTTCATTGTTGTGACGCCCTTTTTCGTACAGTTCTGGCCTCATTCTCCAAACTACCTCGCAGAACCGCAAATGGTATCACCGATTAACAGTTTGGATCCAGTCTCAGTCGATGAGGATGACGCCACGATTGTTGTAAAAGTAAATCCCTTGAAATTTGACATGCTCGTCTTGGCCTTATTTCATCGAAGAGTCTTCTTTAGGATCTTTTTGGCAGTACCCTCTTCCTGCACTTCGTTCTGCACTCCACTGACAGAAACGTCTCTTGAAGACGACCTATTTTCTTTTTGAGAGTGCCCCTTTCTGACTCTTCCAACGTGTTTTTGAGGTGTACGACGTTCTTCCAATTTTTTTAAAACACCATCTTCCGATACTCCGTTTTTGAAGTATTCGTATTTGAAGTGTTGACACCCCCTCCTCCCGGGGCTACGTCTCGTTCAGACCTTCTATTTTCCCTTAGAGAGTATCTTTCTATGTTTGAGATGTTCGGATTTGAAGTTTTTACCCCATCTGACTGCTACTAAAACGTTTTTGACCTTAGCATTTGTCCGAAGCTTTGACTCCCTCTGAATAATGTGATGACATTCAAAATAAGAGACGCACATTGTCGATAGATGTACTTACGAGTCTACATACCATAAGGTTGCAAAAACTGATCTGAAGAAAGTTAAACCGTCTTCCCGCAATCGCGGACCCGGAGGGATGGACGGGCGACCGCATCAGACGAACAGGACGAATTTATAATTTTATTCTACGCATAACCTAATAAACCGATACAACGTTGTATCGAAGGGTCCAGGAGACTTTAAAAAACGACATAAAATTCTAATATGTAACTTTGGTGATCGGTGAATCTCACTTAAATAAACAAATTCGTGGTTCTTTATTTATACATTCACCAATGGACCTTTTATATTCAATGCTTGGACCAAGTTTCAAGACCCCAAGACTCTTCGGTCAGGTTCATATGAACTCAGCCACCACCTTTAAAACCCAAGAAAATGAAAAGTGAACTAACTATAATTAGGTGCTAATTAAGTGCCCTATCCCCGAATTAAATGCTCCTTTTTTTTTAAATTATTGCATGTTCTGCCAGGTTCATATAACTCAGCAGAACACTACCTTAAAAACCCAAGAAGATGAAAAGTGAACTAACTAATAATTAGGTGCTAATTAAGTGGCCTATTTTCAAATTCTGTGCTCTTCCTTTTTTTATTTTTACTTCTACTATTTACATGATTTAAGCAGACAGGCACTGTGTTTACAAAAACAAATACGTCTTTAAGTGTTCGGGATTTGGTGTATTAAAGGTGCTAATTTATTGCTTTAAACGCAAAAAGTTACAAAAATTGTTCGTACAAATTTAACAAAGGCGTACTTCGAAAATAAATTGCTATATTGTGCGTTGAATTATGAAAAGTGCAAGCGTAGCACGGGCACGGGACGTAGGATGTTATGTGATACTTGATAATTAAGATAAAACCTAATTATTAGTTAGTTCACTTTTCATTTTCTTGGTTTTTTGAGGTAGTGTTCTGCTGAGTTCATATGAACCTGGCAAAACATGTAATAATTTTTTTAAAAAAGGAGCATTTCATTCGGGAATAGGGCACTTAATTAGCACCTAATTATGCAATATGTTTGATTGTGTTCTGCTGACATGGACATGCACAGACGGACGTACAATAAGCGGTGACCTTTCACGTTTTAACCCCAAATTCAATAGAGTTCTTACTTGGAGCAAGAGGAAGATATATCCCAAGTTTTGAGTAATTAGGTCTTTTGTTTAGGAATTATAGTGCGCACAAAGAGACTTTGGTGACCTTTGATGGTTTGGCCCCAAATTCTTACTTGGATCAAGACGAATATCTAGTTTCAAGACCATAAGCCTTTCCCCTTCCGTGCGAGAGTTATCGCACCCACAGACGATGTAACAATGTATAGTATTCGTTCTCGATTTTGGGATCCGCCACCTCGACAGGTTATTTATTTATTTATTATTATCCCTCTCTTAGTTTTGGGCCCTCAACAGGCATGCGCCCAATTACAGAGTGACCCGCATAATGCTATTTAGAGGTGCCTCTGCAGAAGGTCTTAAGTTGGTCTATACTACCCCGGTATTTACCTTACGAATTAGGAAAACTGCAGGAAAACCTAATTCGGAGTAGCCGGTAGAATGCTCGGAACTGGTCTAAGGTAATTTACATCTCCGCCACAGATGAAAAATTCACCTCAACCCAGGTTCGAACACCCGACCTCCGGATTTATAACCCAACGCTCTTTCCACCGAGCCATAAAGGCGGTTATGCGCCCAGTGTTCGTATTAGATGTCGTGAGGGAAGGTGTAATAAAGGGGTTGGCGTGTTTATGAGTGGCCCCGATGAATGGCGGAAACGCGTCCCGCTTTGAGCTACTTGAGAAAGACAATTACGACACTTGGAGGCTGTAGATGCAAGCGCTGCTTATCTCTAGCGCAGACTCAGTGAAACCTCAACCGGGAGCAAACGACACCAATGCAAAAAAAGACCTCAGCTCAAAGTCAGACATAATCTTGTTGATCAGCGGCAGCAAGTTGAAACAGGTTAACCATTGTGCTACATCGCGGGAAGTAAATGTACCAGTCTAAGTTGCCAGCCAAGAGAACAACTCTGCTGAAAATCGCTATCCTATGCAAGATGGCCGACAAGCGAGTTTTTCGAGTCAGTCGACAAGCTGAGCGACATGGACGCCACCACCAACCCGGACAATCCTTTTACTACACAGTTTGCTTTCCAGTTTCGACGTATTTCGCTGTGCCATTGAATCCAGGGATGATTTGCCAACACCGAAAGTTCTGCGAATCAAAATCATCGAAGAGAGCGACGCGCGCAGAAGCCACGTAAGCGGCAGAATGATACGGGGTGACGCATCCCGCCTTATGATGGCCAATAAAGACCGCGTACGACCCGATCGCAGGAAGGCCGAGGCGAGTAAAAGGCACTACAAGGCTTCCGAGTGCCGTAACAGCGGCGGGAAGAGCACCAACCACTGTCTACGGGTTTCAGCAGTGGTAAGCGCCATCGCATGTCATAATCACGATTGGTGCTTGGGTAGTGGTTCAACAACGCATTTGTGCAATGAGTTCGAACTATTTCGATATATAGACGATTCAACACTAATTGCAGTGTATGTAGACGACATCTTGGTTGGGTCGAGAGACTAATAAAATCTCCAAAATCGGAGAACTGTCGAAATAGTTCGAGGCGAAGCACCTGGGGGATGTCTAGCACTGTTCACAGTATACATTTTTCTGCCGAATGGAGGCAAATGGCGATATAACCTCGAGTAGGCTTAATAGCTGCAATAAAAACAGACGCGAGTTGTCAAGTTTGCGTTGGTTCCGTTACGTATTTTCTGGCCGTCGCGATTTATTTTATTTTTGCCTTTATTTTTGAGTGGGCGGGGTTTCAGTCAAGGCTGCTCTACCAACGCAACCCACTATACATTAACAAATATCCATTCCTGAACCCGGATTCGAACCAGGGACCCTTAGTACCGCAGTCCAACTTCAACTGAACTGCGTCACGCGGGTCGGCTTTACAGATAAGAATAGTAGATTTAAGGAAAGCGGAGAACACCTAAGTTATTACGGTAATGTTTTAAATTTTTAATTAGAAAGTTTCATATTTCCTGAATGTATTAATAGGACTTAATTATTGGGTTAATTGGAATTGTTTATCTTTTTCAGTTTTGAAACTTCTGCCATTTAGGTACAAAATTAAGACAGCGCGTTAAGAGTAATATTTTTAAATTTACACAATGTTAGCCAAAATCATCATAAAACGAAAGTACCAATAGTTGTGAAAGTAATCACTGGGACATATTATTTACTATGTAGCCGAATTCGTGGAATTTCTATTAAACTTTTTCTTGATAATATATTACCCTATTCATAAGGAGGAGTATGTAGAACAAGAAGGAATTTATTGTTTTGATTTAATATACTGAACAAATTAGTAAAGTTTGAGTTTTATTGTCGACCAGATAATTTCTTGTGGGGGTGCAACTCACATTTTGATAAATTCTAAAGCAATCTGTTTAAATAACATAACAATCTCTGTTTATACTAATTGCAAGTGAAAGTGAAAGTTTACAAGCTCTTTTTGGCCTCTGGACTTTATCACAGAGATAGACAGATTTCAGACCAAATTTAGTCACGACAGGAGACGAATCATAATTTGTTTATTTATTTTTATAAACGCACCTTTTTACAATTTATACTTGCAATCGCAGTATTAAAAGCACATCAAGGTAAATGTGAAAAGCGAAACGCTTTTAAATTGAAAATATGCAAATTGCTTGCTATAATCATTCAACAGAATGCGTAGTGATGAGACACGCATTAGCGAAAATGTATTCCCGTGCAATTAAAAGCGCTCCTTTCATCGTGAACTTTTTCGAAATTGAATTTTCATTGCAATGTCCTTTAATTCTTGTTACTTTGCTAGAGTGTGAAAAATTATTTTTACAAAAAATCGCCGCTTTACGTTGCCGAGTTTATTAAATCATGTTCCATCAGCGTAACAACCTGTAACGCAGCTTTAGGTAGAAGTAGTGTGCAAAAAAGTAAATATGTTGAGAGTTTGCAATGATATAATGAAATAATATAGAATTTTTGCTGTGATACTAAGCATAATTTCAGTTTGAGTATTTATTTCATGTTCATCAGAAAGGTTTATCACGGCTACGGATGGTTTCGTCTTCATTTAATTGGAGTTAAGCTATTATTATATAAAAATGCGAAATTATTG